GGGGGGGGACCGGGTTGGTGTGGGGGACCCAACCCCCGGGGCGGGGGCGCCGCCGCACTTCCCAAGCGGCGCACTTATCCAGTGCGCCACCGGGCCGGCCCTGCACTTTCCATTAATATTATCTGACACTCTTCTGGTGGTGGTGGTAGCGTGTGTGTGTGTGAGTGTATGTGTGAGAGTGTGTGTGTGTGTGTGTGTGTGTGTGTGTGTGTAAGAGAGACCTACTGCACTTTTCATTTTATTGACCCTTGAATGTAGATTGGCAATTCAGTTTGAAATTTCACAAGGGACAACACCCATTAATTGCCTACCAAGTGTCAGCTACTGCTGTGAGTCCTTCCACATGTTATCTGACTTAATCCTACCATCAACTCTGAGAGACAGTTTTTTTGAAAGGGAAACTGGGTCTTAGCAGAGTTCAGTCATCTTGCCAAAATCCCACAGCTGGTAAATGATGGGCTGGGTTTTGAACCCAGGTCTTTCTGGCACCAAAACCCTTGCTCTTTCCACTTGTACTTCATGCTACTACTTGGCAGGGTATGGAGTCAGAGTCATTTTTCTATAACCTGTCATAAAGAAATAATGTAGATGGCATGATAGTAAAAATATGAGTTATTAGTACGGGAGGTTCCCCACTTCACATCCAGCCTCTCAAGTGAGGATCAGGCTGAGCATTAGGCATTGTGTTGCTCTGGGTTGAGTTATATCTGGGAATGAATCGGTTACCCCAGAGGAAAGGTGTTCTTCATGCAGGTCAGCCCAGCAACCACCGGAGGTCGCTCATCCGGCATTTGTCTGCACTCTCCTGTCCTGATGGCAAATGGATTTCTAGACAGTTTTATTCCTCCAATTATCCTGTCTTCAGCTTTTTTACATGGCATCAGCCACGCCCATTGAATGCCATGTTTTCCAGCAAACATGGGGTTTTGCATTTTTGACCACACTCCCAGCGAGCGAGCATGCAGCAAACCTATTGAAGGAAGGCCATGTGTGGAATGGGAGAACTCTCTGACCTGACTATCTTCCATTTTTTTCCCTGAGTAATTTAAGTAGGTCACATTTTAAATTTGATTTCCCAGGCACCTGGTTTTGAATAAAGCCCATTCTTACTTCTAGATAGTCCTGGAGTTTATGCAGAAGAGAAACAGTTTCACTATAAATAAAGAAAATAATTCTAACTGTATATTATTAATTAATTAAGACAATAATTATTTGCTCCTTATTTTCTACCCTCTTCCACCTTTTGGGAGGAAGGAGGGTGCAACAGGACACGAGCAGTGGTGATTTGATGTCACTTTCTCTGCCGTCCATGGCTGCTCATGCGGTATACAACCCTCAGGTCAGAAACAGCCCTTGGAAGCTCACTTGACTACACGTGTAGCCACACTTCTCACTGTTTTCTTATTCCAGTGTGCCGGGGTGGAAGGGGGGTGAGAAATGATGCAGATTCTAGTCTTTCCACCAGGAGATACCATGAAGGTTACCTAATCAGAAATGACAAGTAGGTATTCTCTTGAATGCCAACCCTGCCTGTTTGCAGGTCTCAGCCTAGGCACTACATTGGAGGTTTTGAGGCTCTGTCTAGGCTCAGAGGGACAAGATGCTGTGATCAATTAATGATGTCTGAAGAGGTGCAGGAAGAAGAATAGTACTTTGTGTGCACATATTTACCATCCTAACCTAGAGCTTAGAACGAGTCTCATGAGGAACTGCATGGAAAAACTTACTGTCTTCAAAACTTTGAGAAAGTCCATAGTTTCTCATGCTAGTCATATTTTCACAGTCCCTCTTTTGAATCTTGGGCACCCTGGGTTCAAAGCTCTTTCCTCTACCCCATCAGCATCTATAGTAACTCTGTACAAAACCCTCTGCTTAAACATCATGTAATAGAAAGCATGCTCCCTACATTTAAAGAGTAAATCTAAATTCAACATGTGGGGCCAGCCCGTGGGCACCCTGGGTTCAAAGCTCTTTCCTCTACCCCATCAGCATCTATAGTAACTCTGTACAAAACCCTCTGCTTAAACATCATGTAATAGAAAGCATGCTCCCTACATTTAAAGAGTAAATCTAAATTCAACATGTGGGGCCAGCCCGGTGGCGCACTGGAGAGTGCGCTGCTTGGGAGCACGGTGGCACTCCCACTGAGGGTTCGGATCCCATGTGGAGACCGGTTCCCGCTCACTGGCTGAGCGTGGTGCAGGCGCAACACCGAGGGTTGCGATCCCGTTGCCGGTCAGTAAAAAAGACAAAAAAAAGGAAAAATAAATAAATAAATAAATAAATTCAACATGTGGCTTTCATGTTCTCACTGACGAACACATTCTTCTCCTCTGGTACATTCAAAAGGATAGGAATTCTACTGGAAATTGTGCCCTTAATAGTTTTCCTAACTGTCTTATTATAAAGTATTTTGGTGGAAAACACCTCCTCCATCTTATGTCAACTGTTGAGATGTTTTTGTTTCAGATCAGTTTGCAATTTAGGTAAAACACGCACTTCCCAAGAAAAAGGTATTGTGTGCACAAAATGAGCCCCGCTCCAGAAACTATTCTTTCCACATCTTTCATAAGTAGCCATTTAATACTTGCCTGTAACCCCACCACTTGGGAAACCCTGAATATCAGGAACATAGAAGAAATATTGACATAATCAAGCCTACACTGATGAACACAGCACTGGAAGGAAATCGACAGTGATAAACACAGCTCCTGTCCTCGAGTAGCTGACTATATCTTTGGGAAGTTAGACACTCACAGAGGAAAGTTAATTACTATAAAAACTGAATAGAAACTTGACCGCAAAAGGGGTTGAATAAGGCCGGTGGGGCCCTTGTGTGGGAAGTGATGTGATTGGATATGCAGTTGCTTCATGGCATGAGAGATCACCGGGTTGTACATGTGTGTGTGTGTGTGTGTGTACACACATGTGTAGAATTCTTAGAACCCATGCATTTTAAATCATGGGTAACACTAGGAATCGCTGAAATATCTACATGGGTCATTTCTGAAGGTCTCTAAATGCCAGATGCACAGATGGAGCAGTACTCCCATTTTAGGCCCAAATTGGAAGGCAGGTTGGAAAGTTGGGTTTTTTGGTTTTTGTTTTTTTTAATTTTTAAAATTTCTTCCAAATTTAATTTTATTTTGTCAATATACAATGTGGTTGATTATTGTGGACCATTACTGAAACCTCCCTCCCTCTTCCCTCTCCCCCCTCCCTCCCAACGATGTCCTTCCTGTTTGCTTGTCGTATCAACTTCAAGAAATTGTAATTGTTGTGTCTTCTTCCCCCCCCAGTTATTTTTGTGTGTGTGTGAATTTATTTATTTATTTTTAGCTCCCACAAATAAGTGAGAACATGTGGTATTTCTCTTTCTGTGCCTGACTTGTTTCACTTAATATAATTCTCTCTAGGTCCATCCATGTCGTGCAAATGGCAGTATTTCATTCTTTTGTATAGCAGAGTAGTATTCCATTGTGTAGATGTACCACATTTTCCATATCCACTCATCCGATGATGGACATTTGGGCTGGTTCCAACTCTTAGCTATCGTAAAGAGTGCTGCGATGAACATTGGGGGGAAGTTGGTTTTTTTTTACAAACTGATGCTAAAATGGGAAATCCAAAGCCTAAAGCAAACCACTAAAACCCATTCTTGATGAACTACAAAAGGGGACAGGAATTGGCACAATTAAGCCCAAACTGGTGAAAACCGTAGGTACTCTCACACCAGACAATCCACTGATTTTCAGCCTTCTCCCCATCCATGGATGCAGGAGGGTCCCAGCTGAGATGGGAACTACTAAAGATTTCATGTCGTTGACCTGCCTTCTCACTTCTTTCTTTTTAAAATAGGCCAGGCATAGCTAACCTTTGTACTTTATTCCACCTGTTATACTTTGTAGTGTGCATGGTTATAGTAGTCCCCATTATCCGCAGGGGATATGTTCCAAGACCCCTGGTGGATGCCTGAAGCTTTGGGTAGTACCAAACTCTATGTATACTGTATTTTTTCCCATATGTACATACCTATGAGAAAGTTTATTTATAAAGTAGGCACAGTAAGAGATTAACAACAATAATAATAAAACAGAATGATTTTAATAACCTACTGTAATAAAGTTATGTGAATGTGGTCTATGTGTATCAGAATATCTCACTGTGCCATACTCGCCCATGTTCTGACTGTGGTTAACTGGGGGTAACCAAAACTGCGGAAAATGAAACCATGGATAAGGGGAACTACTGTACTTCTTCATGGCATAGACAAGGAAACTGAGGCAGAGAGAGATTAAGTGACGTCACTATGTTCCATTCCCCTTCTTTCCTTTTAATGAACATAAACTTATCAAGAATAGGAGTTGACTAATCTGAGGGTAGAATAATCAGCAAAATGGATTCTGATCCCCAATACCAACCACAACAGTAGCAACAACAAGGAAGTCAGTTAACTTAGTTAAGGGCACAGCTTCAGAGTCGACCAACCTGGTTTCCAGCTGGGCTCCCTGACTTGTGAGCTCTGTGACTTCAGGCAAGTGATTTCCTCAGCCTGAGCCTCATCTGTCAAATGGGGGCTGTGTTTGTAGCCTCCACCACATAGGGTGATTATGGTGATTAAGTAATAGATTGCACACAAAGCATTCTATACTGTTCCTGGCACATAACAAGCATTTACTAGTGGTAGCTGCTGTTATTAATAGCTTTTTTGTTGTTTATTTGAAGATGGCTCTGCACATCCATGGCCAAGGTCCCCAGCCTAGAACATTGTCAGCAAAGCCACAACGCCAGGCAGGCACTACCTCCTTTGACTTACACAGCCCCTTGGACGTTGGGCCCTTGTGACCTGGTGCTCTGTCTTCGATTGTTTCAGCCGCCTGCCCGGTCCTGTGCAGCGGGAATGGACAATACTCTAAAGGGACGTGCCAGTGCTACAGTGGCTGGAAAGGCGCAGAGTGTGACGTGCCCACGAATCAGTGCATCGATCCTTCCTGTGGGGGCCACGGCTCCTGCATTGATGGGAACTGTGTCTGCTCTGCTGGCTACAAAGGCGAGCACTGTGAGGAAGGTAAGCACCACGGGGCCCGCGCTGGGCAGCGGTGAAGGCATTTGCAGGACCTGGCCTTTGCTAATGAGCCCAGTCCTGGGCTCCATGTTTTGCAAAGCAAGCTTTAACATCTGGCACAGAAAACTTCAAACTCCTTGGCCTTGATGAACTTTAGTTGTAGAACAGAANCCAACCTGGTTTCCAGCTGGGCTCCCTGACTTGTGAGCTCTGTGACTTCAGGCAAGTGATTTCCTCAGCCTGAGCCTCATCTGTCAAATGGGGGCTGTGTTTGTAGCCTCCACCACATAGGGTGATTATGGTGATTAAGTAATAGATTGCACACAAAGCATTCTATACTGTTCCTGGCACATAACAAGCATTTACTAGTGGTAGCTGCTGTTATTAATAGCTTTTTTGTTGTTTATTTGAAGATGGCTCTGCACATCCATGGCCAAGGTCCCCAGCCTAGAACATTGTCAGCAAAGCCACAACGCCAGGCAGGCACTACCTCCTTTGACTTACACAGCCCCTTGGACGTTGGGCCCTTGTGACCTGGTGCTCTGTCTTCGATTGTTTCAGCCGCCTGCCCGGTCCTGTGCAGCGGGAATGGACAATACTCTAAAGGGACGTGCCAGTGCTACAGTGGCTGGAAAGGCGCAGAGTGTGACGTGCCCACGAATCAGTGCATCGATCCTTCCTGTGGGGGCCACGGCTCCTGCATTGATGGGAACTGTGTCTGCTCTGCTGGCTACAAAGGCGAGCACTGTGAGGAAGGTAAGCACCACGGGGCCCGCGCTGGGCAGCGGTGAAGGCATTTGCAGGACCTGGCCTTTGCTAATGAGCCCAGTCCTGGGCTCCATGTTTTGCAAAGCAAGCTTTAACATCTGGCACAGAAAACTTCAAACTCCTTGGCCTTGATGAACTTTAGTTGTAGAACAGAAAAAGCCTATAGAATTGGTTCTGAAAGGAATGTTTCGTTTTACCCTCCTTTATAGAGATTAGTTCCTTTTCTCTTTCTCTTTTGTTTTTCTCTTTAAATTGCTCTCTCTACCTTTGTCTCCCTGTCTTGTCTGTCCTTCTACTCTTCCTCCTCCCCTTTCTTCTCCTTCTTTGCTTCTTTTTCTTCTTTCCCCCTCCCTCTTTTCTCATGCCTTATTTAAAGACATCTGAATTGGAAATTACTAAAACTATCCAGAGGAAAATAACAAGAATCCCTAAGTCCCCTGTCTTCCTCAAACCTGTTTTTTAAAGCTGTTCCTGGTAATCTAAGACCCATATATGTCTGTGTAAATACTTCAGCAAAAATTAATATCAATAGAGACCAGTCAGCCTTGAAAGGCGATAAGTATTCATGTCATTTAGAGACACCATGTAGGGCAAATTATCCTAGTTGCCTACAGTCACATAGAACTAGAGGAAAGTGAGTAAGCAGCACGAGGGTGGGATTTGATGAATACCAAAGAGCTCACTATAGCAGACATTTAAGCACACATGGGTAAAAATCAGGGTGTCATAAACTGAATCCAATCTGACAAAATACGGTCAGAGACCAGGCTTAGAGATCAGGAGAGGGCCATAGGAGAGAAAGCACAGGAACAGGGAGGTATTTAGAAAGCAGCTCTAACTAGTCCTATTTACTCTGGTTAGTTCTTTCAGAAGAGTGATTTGGTACCAAGGTGGGACCAACTTGCAGTACTTATAAAGCAAGAGAACTCACCCAAGTGGCCTGTCAACAACCCCCCTCTGTATTACACTTCCAGAATATAGTCTCTAGTTGCCTGTCTCTTACTTCTTACCACACAAAGGATTGACCACAGTTGGTAGGAATGTAAGAACCTAGGCCCTCTCAGCCCCTTGCCCGCTCTCCAACCTCTGAATTGACTCGATCATCGTCTTCCAGCTGTAATCCTTTTCTCTAAGTCCATCTCCCCGTGAAACATTCCCATATGACTCAAACAGCCCTTTTCCCTCCATGTTCCCAGTGGAAATTAAGGTGTCAACTCACCCAACAAACTAGGGGAAAAAGTGAAGCCCACTGCCTACTCTGTGTGAGACAGCTTGAGATGACCACCCAGGATGTCCCCATGGAAAAGATCCCACTGGACACCATTGCCTGTGTTCTCACTCAGGTTCCCATGAACAAGCTGTTAATCAGAGATCTCAGGCTCTATGAGGTTCCCAGATGCTAGTGGATCCATTCTCCTATCCCATTAACTTACAGATCTCCAGAATTCTATACAAAATAACCCATCGTTACAGCTCTCATGACAAAGTAATGACAGTGCCATATCCTTAGATACACACACATAGGCTTCCCTTGTGAAGTACCCCATTTCATAGATTTTAGAACTATGGCTACAGAGTCAGCTTCCATGACATTATTCTTCTAAGATTTTTCATTATATCAGTGGTAATGCCCTTAATGGGGCCCAAAGTCTGACCCCCAGATCCTTACCTGCTCAATTCTCTATATATTTTTTCCCTCTATTATAAAAGGTAGCCTCCCTATGTCTGCATCATAAAATGCAATTGGAAGTTTGGATGGAGGAAATACTGATTTAATAACCCTGCTTGAAAGGTTAAAGTTCTTGAAGATGAATGGATTGCAGGAGGCAAAACTGCATTCAATGAAAACATGGGAGAGGCCAGTAATATGACAAGAAAGGTTGAAACGACCTTTTGCATACATCATTTGGCAAGAGGAAAGTGCTGGGGCAATGACATTGCCAGTCTTAGAATTTTTTCCCCTCTAGTAAAAATTGTGCACATCTGTATGAGTGGAATTTCAAGAGATTTCTCAACTTTCTTATTATCCCAACAAGTCTTATTTAAATGTTCAGAGTGAATTAACCATCCAACAAAGCAAGGAAGCCATGCGGATCATTATGAAAGGATGAAATTTCCTCTATTGATTTCTGCTACCCCAAAAGAATGAACCAAGGTGATTCATACACTGTTTTCAAAATAGGAAATGGAATCAGAAAGCCTGCATCAGCACTTTTTCTTCCATTTAGCTTTTTATTTCTGATATTCATCATAGTCATAACAGTCAAACGATTTACCTGAAATGACCATGGCAATGAAATCAATAGTTGCCATCCTCCGTTTTTGCTGCATAAACATTGTTGTAGTATTAACAAATTTGCACAGGAAAATGAGAGGATGTGTGTGCGAGGTTTCATTCAATGATGACTGAGAGAGTGGGAAGGTGATGAGAGAGGAATTGACATATTAGTTTAAGTCAGCCATGTTTTCATGTCAGTTTCATGGTTGAGTCATTTTTCAATGACATTTAACTTCATAAATGTAATTCATGGTTCTTCAGGGGTTTATAGTACATATTGTTTGTAAAACTCCTTGACCTCCTTTTTTATCCTAAGGGATAGAAATTGCATTCACAACCCTTTTTTGTCAAACCTACAGAGGGCTCAAGACTAAATGAGTTCTAATGATTTCAGCTGCCAGGGGGCTGGTGTTTCGAGGCACATGGTACTTAGCTGGTAAAGGCCACTGTCCCCCTTTTAAGTATAACACTATTTCTATTTATAAAGCTCCACAAAATGCCATAGTTCTTCCTGCCTGCTAAAGACTCTAAGGACATGCCCAACAAGACTGTCTTATGAAATGGGAACCAAATTTAAAATTCATAGTGAAACTTAAGACTGCTCCTCTTAAAGTTTGAACTGAGTTATTCCATCAGCTACAGTAATTATAAAGCACAAGGTGCATATTTATTGGTACCACTGACCAGAGAAAG